CCTTTTACCCCCCCCCCCCCCCCCCCCAATGCAGGTTTGCATGCAAAAGTCAGGCATTTACCCGCAGAAATCAAAGTAATTAATTGCCGGTGTCAGCTTTCTTCTCAGCTGTACCGGCATCTTTGTCATGCTTGCCCTGTTCTTGACCCTGTGGGGTAATTCCTGGTCGTTTTAGTAACCGGGTTTCCATGTCACCCTGTTACACCCACTGATTAAACATGGTATAATTCCTTCCTTAGATATACTATTGCATCTGCCCAAGAAGGCATCAATTTGGGGTCAATTCAAAACATAGTAAGTGAGCAGAATTGTTATTTATAATATACTTGATGAAATGTGAAATATAGACCCCTGTGGCTAAATTTTCCTCTCCACTGACCAGATGTAACAGAGAGGGATATGGCCTTCAGTTTTGAAGAGAAAGTATTAGTCCTTTCCATTAACTCTTCTGTATCCAAAGGCAACTTTCAGGAGCTGGGATGATGTGGGTCCTGAGGCCCATGTTTGCTAGTCATAAGTTCAAGACCACAGCACAAGTGTTTCACCCTGTCATGTTCCAATGCATTTGTGAATTCTGCTAAATACCTTGTCACAAGGATACAAGAAAGGAACTAGACGATTCATTATGACACATTTTATGTTTGGCAGTGTCATCCCTTTAGCAGAGACAGTCATGTTTTATTAAGTATATCAAGTGTTTTGTTTTGTTTTTCATTTTACCAGCAGGTCTTAATTTTAGAAGGGGGAGAGGGGAAATTGCTGTGTATAGACAGGATTTATGTCACATAATAAATCAAAGATGTTCTAAATATTTGGAATAGCAGGTAGCGTTTAATGGTTCTCAACATTTTTAGACTCAAGGTACTCCTCAGAAAATGCCAGCTCTTAGTTTTTTTTTTTCTTGTGAAAAATATTTTCACCCCTACTATGCTAACACTGGGATGCACCCTGCATGGCCATTGATCTGAAGGTACCCCAAGGTGCCATAACACCCACGTTGAGAATCACAGGTTTAGACAATGTAATTTCCATAGTTCTTGTTGGATACATAGACAGAAAATGGAGACAACAGAACTCAAGAAGGTCAAAGAAATTGACTTTAATTGCGTCTTAGTCAGGGGCTACTCTGAAAGCAGACTTCTGGTTTTGGCCAGTTGTGCTAAAGGTGCAATAATCAGACAAATGGCCCACAGACGAGACTCCCCAGACAGCACCCCATAACTTGGGAACTCCAGCTCCCCACCATGTACTGTTTCCCTGTCTAAACTCTCATACAAGGAAGCCCTCTGGCCAAATTCCCAAATAGAAAAGCATGGCAAACCATGCCTCCCAAATGCTATTTTCATCTTAGTCCCTGCTACCCATTCCCATTCCTTTGCCTCACCCCTAGGGAAGATCCTTCCACCTTCCCCCAGTGTCCCTTTAAAAGCTTACACTCCCTGTCCTACAGAGGGATTGAGGCTGTCAACCCCCCTCCAAAAAAAACCAAACAAAAACTCCCCCAAAAAGCCCCACATTTGGTCCCTCTCCCTTTCCACAACAAATAAAAAGTTAAATTCAAAACAACCTTAACATAAAAGCAAAAAAAAAAAGACTGGGAAGGCCAGACAGCTGGCTGTGTCCTTCTCCCTCAGTTTAGGCTGCCAAAATGGTACCTAGTAGGGCTGTGTGAAGCTTTGGTTCACAATTCAATTCAGAGAAGACTCGGCTTGATTTGGAGGCTGAATCTCTGATTCCAAATTGAATTGATCGAAGCTTAAAATTCTCCAAAACAATTCAGAGCCTCCAAATTGATTTAGAAAAGATTCAGAAGAGATTCAGTGATTCAGAAGGCAGTCTTTGAGGGGAAACAGAAACTTTAAAGTTTCATAGTTCCTAGGGTTGGAAGGGACCTGAGCAGATCATCTAGTCCGATCCCCTGCCATGGCAGGAGAGAGTACTGGGGTCAAACGACCCCAGCAAGGTGTACATCTAGCCTCCTCTTAAAGACCCCCAGGGTAGGAGCCAGTACCACTTCTCTTGGAAGTTGGTTCCAGATCCTAGCTGCCCTGACCGTGAAGTAGCGCCTCCTGATATCTAGCCTAAATCTACCCTCTGCCAGCTTGTGACCGTTATTCCTGGTCACTCCTGGTAGTGCTCGGGGGAACAGGGACTTCCCCAGTGCCCAGTTCCTTAGAGGGAGGGGGAACGGGGGAGGAAGGACAAACATCTCTAGCTGGCCAGTGAGTGTGATTTCTCTCTGACTCCCCTTTCAATCACAGTGTTTGGGGGACGGACATAGAAACAGCATAAAAGCCTCTGTCTGCAGGCTTTTCTGTCCCTTTTCTGAGCTGTTTCTGGCTGAACAACAGCATCTCAAAGGTACTGTGGTTACTGGACTGGCTTCCTTGTCAGTGGCCTGCTACGTTTTGCTCTTAGAAAGGATTGGATAGGATATAGCTTAGCTTAGAATCCCTCTACTTCTAACTCATTTCTTTCAATTTATATATGTTTGGCGTTTTTTTCCCCCCCAATACTTCTTAAATAGAAAGCTCAATGTTTTTTTTCCTGGCAGTGTGATCTATCATGATGCAGGGAAGCACACATTGCATACACTCACACAAACGCATTATAAAAGAAGAAAAAGTCAGAAGAAGAAAAGATTCTGACTATATATAGTACTTATTCATATTATTATAGTTAATTTACATACAGACTAAAGCCAACACAGAAGAAGTCAGATAGAGATTCAGATTGAAGCTAACACATACAACACAGAACTCAGAATTGAAAAAGAAGATATTTTAGGTACACCACACAACAGAACAGTACAGTAAAGAAATGCAATTAAGAAGAAGAAGAGTCACTCACCCATTTAGAGTCAGGGCAGAGAACACATCACCAAATAATAACACACTCACACACCATATACTTATTAATAATCAATAATCAAGCCACAGTCCACTATACACAACACAAAGCAAAGCAAACAAATCATAAGCCAGGCGTGCGCGCGCGCACACACACACACACACACACACA